TTTAATAGGTTTACCATTAGATAAATAATATATACATATATTATGAATTTAAACTATATTTTATATTTTTATAATAATATGCAGATATATTTTGCTGTTATCCTTCAATTGATAATTGATTGCTAATTTTAATGTGCTAGTTGATAATCTAAAATTAGTTCGAGGACCAACGCACACTACTACTAATTGAATCTTTAAGAATCTAGTTGTTATAAAGATAAAATCATACTGTATCTAGTCGTGTAGTGATTAAAGGTAAAACTTTTAAAACAAAAATTGAACTAATTAAGGATTAATAATAAATTAAATTGCTTATACTTAAAAGGCAGATTCACTCCAACTTTAATTTCAATGCATTACGTGAAAGAATATAAAATAATTTCGTCATAAAGTACAAGCTGATCTCCCATTTTGATGTTCGTATGTATATTGGTGAATAATTGCAGAAATGAATTTTTGAAACATGATGATTAATTTAAACTATGGTAGGACTTTTGGAATACTAGGGAGAGTAACCCCTGTCCGCCTAACAGCGGACCAGCCCCCGTTTTACATATTATGCATCTGTTCATTTAATTGTACTGCTTGTTGCTCAAATTGTATTGCTGTAATTTACATGCATTCGGTAGTGGAGATTGTATTATTTTTTATCATTATAAAATAAACTGAACAAAACCACAGTTTGAACAAATTTTTAATTTCTTTAAAAATCTATATTATACATTGCACCATATTGCCAATTTATATTATTATATAATTATAATTATTCTTATTGCCTATTTATAATTATAATATATATTCAACTTGTCCAGCTTTCTATAAGCCCAACATCAATTTGAGCATTTTATTTCTAATAGTTTCATTGTACGTTAAACTGTGCTTCCTTTCCTATTTCATAATAGAAATAACAGTATATATAATACAATAATTAATATATAAAAGGAAAATATATAGGTAGGAAAATAACTGTTGTCTCCTAGGTAAAACTAAACTACCACCTCCAGATGAATACCATTTTGCGTACATATTTTTGGTCTAAAGTCTCTATTTTCTATTAAATGAGTAGGAGGTTACAGGAGCTCAACACGTATGTAATTTAATGAATAGCTGTACAATTAGTGCTAATTATAGAACTAAAAGGAGAGCTCCTGCAATCTCCTACTCTCCTAATACTAAAATAAAATAAGAGTCACTAAAAACTTTTTTATATAATAGAGAGAAATGTTTCACTAAACGAATTGAAATTAACTTCAATAGATTTTATATGCATACAAGTACACAAGAATTTAAAAAAAGCAATGGAAATAAATAAAAATAAATAAATAAATGCAATGGAAATAAATAAATAAAAAGCAATGGAAATAAATAAAACCTAACTGCACATGGAGTCTAGTGAACTAGAGCTCTTAAATTGTCGCAATGTATTAGCGCTATACATGCCAACACAATGCACCTTTATGTAGACTGAACCGACTCAGTTTATCCACCACAGAATCACCACAAACTAAATTTCACCCGCTATCCTAAAGTTACCCACCCAGTCATAAAGTTACTCACCCAACACCAAAGTTACACCATGTTACGGTACCTTTCTCCTTTGTTTCGGTATCGAATAAATTTTAGTTTTAATAAATAAATTAGCCATGAAAAAACTCATGAATGCCAATGGGACGAGAGAATACCTGATTCAGAACCTTAAGGTATTTTTGGGCGACTGTTAGTCGACAGTCTCACTCAATTTACATGCTTAAGCGTCTTCTGGGAGTAAGGAAGTCATTATCATTTCTTTGGATTTCCAGAAGAAAAAAAAAGGTTTTAATGAAAAATCGGTAGTTTCAGAAAATGGGGTTTGCAGCAGATAGCTTAGAGCCGTAACGAAGGATAAACATTAAAAAAATATCTAGAGTTTTTATGTATGAAACTTTATAGATAGCTAGAGCATATTGATATGATGGTATCTATATTATTTTTTGGTATCTATATGATATTAAACATTATTTTTTAAAAATATTTTTAATATAAGCAATTTTTTAAAAACACTATACTTTTTTGGCTTTCTCATATACCGTCTGTGAAGTGGTGGTCCAAATGGGTTTAAGCGGGTAAATTTTAGTGTTCAATTTATGTTATAGTTTTAATTTAGAAGATTTGGAAGAAGTGAGTATAACATTTGTAGTCTTAGGTTTAACGTTTTTTTTTTCTTTTATTGTTGATATGAGGTTTTTTCTTTCTGTCCAACATATTGCACTTTTATATTTGAAAATTTGAACAAAAATGCTATTTTAACAACTGCATCCAACAATTTATACTCCAAAGACAGTGAACGTGGCTACAATTCAAATTACAGCCCTTGTATCGATGTGTTTGTGGTTACCATTGCTCAGAACCCGAAAATTATTTAAAATTTATGATACCTCTAAGAAAGTTACGGAATGTAAGTCGTTTAAGAGTATCGGTTGCGACCATCTAAAATTGCTCCATTATATACGATATAAATACAAACGAAGTCTGCAAGTGGTGCGGCCAACTTATCAATAACGGTTTAAAGCACTTGATGCTGGAGTGTTTGTTTCTGGAGGCACATACAAGGAAATACCTACATACACATATACAGGCTGCCACAGATGATTTATCACTGGTGTGTGTGTTGGATATAAAAAATCTTGACCAGTAAAACAAAATATTTTATTTTATTATAAGTTTTTGTGACTCTATCAGCTTTAGCTCAATCAGGCATGTGTTCATATGGGCGTACGTGTATTTAGTCACAATTTGGGTGCTTTTTAAATATTATTATTATTAATTATACGATTCTACATGTGCGTTGTAATCCTAAGATCTCTACTATTTGTTTTGCTTTTTTGTGTTCTGCATAGTAAATTTTATTTAGTATATATGTATCTTTATTAATTTATTATATAAATATATTTATATATATAAATAGTAAACATATTTATGATTTTTGTTATATAAAAATATTTTTGTTTTGTTTTCTTATACTGTACTTATTTTCTTCTACTTATAAAACTAATCCCTACTAACACTAAATGGGCCAGACTCTATGGCTAAGATGTATATTAAGCCAATAAAATGTTCCTTTTCTATTTCAAAATTTGGACGTAAATCATGTAAGGTCTGTGAGGCGACTGTAGGTTTTTATATCATGTTAGGATTGTTGTCTCATCTTCGAAGATCCTTTTATTCTGGCAGATTTTCCTCTGTCTGCCATGGCTCAAAACATTCTTCCGTTAGACCAGCCTTAGGAGGTATACCTCAGTTGGTCAGTATTTCTGATCTCTCCGCTATCATGCATCATATACTTACACGATGTTCCAAATAGTACAAAGAAAATGGATAATATTTTGTGTACTAAAATGACTGCAACACCCAACTAACTTTTCTTATTGCATATTTAAAATTTATTTTTTAATAGTTGTATCAATCCCATCCCTTAAAGTTCTAACGTGTTAAAAACTGTTTTAAAATATTCTTTAATAAAAAATAATTGGACTCAGGCAGTTTATATGACACACCCGAAGGATTTTAAATGTGTAGAATAACTTTCAATGAATAAGGATTATTTCAATAGATGTGAGCGATGACATCTACTTGCATTCAAAATCGGTCAACTTTACTCGCTTCCGCCAACTCTAAAACCAAAAGCTGTTAGCAATTCCTAATGGCAGATTTTTTTTTTTAACTGCTTCCCATTTCTAGCATTTATAGAGGCCTTTAAAAATGTTGCCAAAAGCGTATGAAAATGTTTCATTGAAAACAACCTAGGTGGAGGAAATGACATAGCTTCTTTTAAAAAAGTAAAGATAAAAAACAGATAATGATATATATAAATATGGTATAACCTTCCGCGACTCTCTTTATGTCGGGATTATTTGATTAAAAAAAATGAATTATCATTGGAGTTAACAGCAAAGAAAGTTGATAAACCACAAAAGTGGGACGGAATGAGGGTTTCTATAAATATATTTGGATTGGGGTGATTGTTTTAAAAATCGCTTGAATGCATTTTTATTTTCAGAAATTGCTTTATTTCATTTTTATCAAGTTACCAATGTACTTCATAACATAAATTACACCGATAGACAAAAATCTAGTATATAAATATGTTAAAACTCATAAGTCACAAAAGTTATATGTCTTTGTGTTGTCCACTAAAATCTATGTAATGATTCTTTGAGCGAACGGTTGATTTAAAAGCTCAAATTATTGTACGAGATCCCGTGGGCGTTTTGAAACAATTTGTTTAATATTGCAGTGATTTTTTTTTATTGTATTACATCACAAATATAATTATATATTTTTTTGTATTTGTTGTAACAATAACACATTTAATCTTGGTTCATCTTCTTGTTGTGTTTCAGAGCCATTACAACACTTAACTAATGTGAAATCATTTGTGATGAATTAAATTATAATGCAATCACTAACCAGAAGAAGTACTTACTTGTGGATCCAGCATTTAATTTTGGGGGAGGCTTCAACTCGAAAGATTTTTTTTATCATATATATATAACGATAATTAATTAGAAAAAAAAGAAAGAAATTAATTACCTATATGAAATGATGTTTAAGTGGTTCTTGAAGTCCTATTAAATGTAATTACACGAACAAGAATACTTTAGACAAGAGATAGTTTTTAATATTTTTTTCTGTAAAATATGGTTATATTTTACCATATTTTGGAGGGGCTTTAGCCTGAAAGCCTTCCCTGTCCCCCCTAGATCAGCCTGTGGAAGTACTTATTAATCTCTTAAAAGTACCTATTAATTCGGTTCTTTTATAATATATGTTTCTAATATCCTTGTTATTGTATTCATAAATCATACACTATAAATCATTCATAAATCATTAAAATACACTTCGTTTTTAAGTGATTTGATTGTGGAGAATTTTTATTTATGTGTTATTGAATCTCAGAATAATTTCAAAAAAATGTGTTTATTATAATTCTTGTGCATATTTATGTATTAGTACATTTATCTCTAATACATCAATGTGTCATATGGTATCTCAATATAAACATTATTTAAATTTAAAAATATTTTTTTTATTTTAATAATTTTATTTTTATTAATTTTTCAATTTAATCCTTTAATTTTTTTTTTGTTTCCTGGTTTCAATGTTTCAAGAATTTTCATATACATAATTAATTATACCGTGGTTGTTATTTTATATTGTTCATAATTCTATAAGTTTAAAATTTTTTTAAAATTTAATAATGCTAGATATACAGTAGTTAACTTAGGCTAGGAAGCCCTATGAAGGCTAGAAGCTCGCAGGCTAGGTGAAAGGACTGGGCTGTTGCGCAGGGGTTTGAGTATATAAAGCCAGGGCACCGGGCCTTCAGCATCAGTTCCACAACAACCACAAACACAACAACAATGGCAGCTAAGGTAACTACAGACAGACGGATACAATTTTTGATTATCATCAAGACAGACAAACAGAAGGATTTAAATCGCGACTTGGTATGAGCATGAGTACTTGGTATCAAGTACGAACTGATACTTCGGTTTCTTTATATCGATACTTCTTTAGTACTGAATTTCTCCCTTTGTCTTTGTTTGGCATCGATATACCTTAAGTGTTTATTTTCAAAATCAGTAAATTTAATATAACAAATTAGTAAATTTAAATGATCTAAAATCAAAGCTTTTTGAAATTTGACAGGCATAATAACTTAACGTGATCCTCAATCTAAAATTATTTACTCATTATTAGACTTTAATTGCATTGATTAAATCACTGTTTATTTATTTGTTTCATTTGTTGCATATATTGTCTTTGACATTTTAAATTCAAAATCTTCCATTGAAACTTACTTAAGCGTTTCATTGTTTCAATAGTCTGAACAACTATGCTTATTTTCGCACATTTTGAGAAAAGTAATCGTGGGATAATTCTCTAAAATAATTTAAATTTATTTATCACTAATTCGAATATTTCGGAGATTTCTCTCGGAGATTGAGATGTTTCTTGTAGGAAAAATGACAAGGTTTCTCTTTGTGAATATGCTCAAGTGAAGAATAATCCGTTGCGATTCTATTGCCAGACTATGTCATTAAGTATTAGTTATTTTCTATTTTATTGCTATCACCATGTGATATCACTAAACTATACCATCATGATACTTATGAATCCGATAGAAATAACTTCAAGTTTTGTAAGTGTCCTTGTGACTAACGAAATTTTCATTTGAACCCTATGCTTTTTGATTGATCGAATTTATATGTCTAATTTTATTATTATTTTTGTTTTTAAATTCTATAAAAAATATTGAAACTATACATCAACAATCCAGGCAGATTGAAATTTTACTATAGGACAATAGTAGCCATTAGAAATATAGATTATATGATGAAGTTGGTAAGTTTATATATTTTTCAAGCCTTTAAATGGCAATTTTTTCGATAGGAACTTCCTTTTAACCTCCACTAACGTTGTCGAATATGTATTGTGTTGAGCAGTCGAAGACCGTTTCTAGAACCAAAAAATATCGTCTGATTTAATTATTATTATTATGTACCACGCAAGATTTGTTTGTTACCTTTAACAGACATTTGAATTATATTTCGTATTCATAGTTAGAGTGTTAGTGTTGACTGAAATGTTTTCCATTATCAGTTAGCAGTGTTGGCGGTAGTACTGGGAGCAGTCAACGCCGGAATCATCGACAGCTATGGCGGTTACGGAGGCTATGGAGGATACGGAGGTCACGGCTACAGCGGGCTGTCAAGTTCCTACGTCCACGCTCCAGTCGCTGTCGCCGCTCCAGTCGTCCACGCCCCAGTCGTCCACGCTCCAGTAGTTGCCAAGAAAGTCGTAGACTACGTTGATGCTCATCCAGAGTACAAATTCGAATATGGAGTCCATGATGCCCACACTGGTGATGTCAAGAGCCAATCTGAAGTCAGGTCCGGAGATGTCGTCAAGGGATCTTATTCCCTCGTCGAACCCGATGGTTCCAAGAGGGTAGTTGAATATACCGCTGACCCACACAACGGATTCAACGCTGTCGTACACAGGGAACACAACGCTCACCCACCTACCGTAAGTATCAAAATTATCGAATTCAAAATAATGTTTTTAATACAAAACAAATCTCCACTATGGAAAAATTATCTAGAGTCATTGAAAAGTTCTCTTGATTACAAAAATACTCGTGTCAAGTATCCTCCATTCAAAATAATTGGGCTCTCCAAAGTTTAATTGTAATAGGTCTCTAATTGCGACCTCTACTGTAACACTTTCGATTCTCATGGAAGGAACGTGATAGTTTTTTCACCACTTATTTCGCAATTAGTGTAGAGCCATGTCCCTTTTTGAACACTGTTTTTTCTCCTTCTCAGTTGTGACATTACCGAAGCCTTGCTGGATCCAGGCCGGCAGGCTTCCCTATAAGCAGAGAGTACTCCTCAAGCGCTGGCCATTCAAGTGCTGCCTTAATTGTACTATTGATTGGTATTCTATTGCTCCCTAACTAGTCACTCAGACCTTCGTGCCTTACAGCGCTTACTCACGCTAAAGTTACATCACTTTTCATAGCGAGTACAGAATTTTTGGATCTTCGTTAAAGCAGTTGATATAATGTTCCTCTGTTCTTTTAGGTTGCCAAGGTTGCAGTGCCAGTCGTCCACAAGGCTGTTGTAGCCGCTCCAGCCATCGCACTCTCCCACGGATACAGCGGTGGATACGGTGGATACGATGGACACTACTACGGTGGACATTACTAAGTCATCCAGTCTTTCATCGCATCACCAAGATCATTCATCATGATGTATATACGCCTCATTTTTTTATACAAATAAATTTTATATAAGTCTTACAATACGAAGTTTTTATTACATTAACCCATAAAAGAAATATTTTGAGATCATTCCAATCCATTATTTTACCGTAATTAAGTATTCATATTAATAGTATAATGAATTCCCTTATTTCAAATCTGTGTCAACATTCTTTCTACTCAATTATCACTTAAACATTGGCATAAATTAAAATGACTGAAGGATATTTTAATTCATTATATTGAACTGAAAAAATAATAAATACGATTGATGTTAACATAAATGCTATCCTCTAACTTTGAAAATAATTATTATAAATAGCTTTTGTGTTTGATCTATGAAAAAAAAAATATAAAAAAGAATTTTCGACTTTTGCGTTTTCCATATCCTCATTATTGGTTTATTTAATTTGTTCTTTATTCCAATTTAAATATCATTAAGACGTATAAGCATCTTCACACTTTGAAACAATCCATACTGCAGTTCCATATTTTTAAAATAATATTACTGAAGTCATTACTATCTAAAATTTTTCAAATATTACATACTTCAAATACTAACTGACGTCAGTATTGCTAAAAGTGAGATAAATCTATGAATGTGATAACCAAAAGGGATAACAGTATTTAAATTTCGTGTATGCCTTAATATTCGAAAAATTTTATATAACCGAAAAAAAATTCTAAGACGTCAATTACCACAGCAAAACACAAAGCAAGAAACAAGGCAAACCAAGTTTTTTTTATATTCTTATGAAATATAGAACAACCGTGCTGTTGATTGTTTGGAAAGATCGTTTCTTAGTAATGATATTATTTTTTTTTTAGAAACGATATTTTTCTTACTTACTGCATATAGTTCAGTAAAATTAGGGATTGACCCCAAAATTCAAAAAATAAAGATGAAACTTGTCAAAAAATAATTTATTACTCTCCCTATATTAAAAAGTCCCAAAGAAACCCGTGTCTCGTTTTTATGAGAGGGGGTAGAAGAACGGAATAATGATATTTTTTTAATTTTTTAAGAATATCTCTAAAACTATAAGGTTTTAAATCAATGATTACGGAGATATTTATGAGATCATATTTCTTGTATTTCCACTTTAAGCAAAAATTGCATAAAACCAAACAGTAACTACGGTTTTTCAGAAAATCAAGGATTCTTCGCGATTTATTTTTATATATAAACTCTCAACTGGTCTGAAGATACCACAATTTCAGAAAAACTTCCTTCTTTGGTGATATTTTAGCCCATTAAGTTGAGTTTACATTTCCTCTAATTGAATAAAAATATTATTGGTAAAATTTGGGATCGACCTCCAATATTTTTACATATTTAACTCAATTCGGAGTGAATCTCAATTTATTCCGTAACAAACCACAACTTAATTAATATATACTTAAATCTCATTAAAAAAGAATGTTTATCTGAAATTGTGGTATCTTGAGTACAGTTGGGAAATTATAAAAAAAATCGCAAAGATTACTTGATTTTATGAAAAACTGAACTTACCGTAGTTAAATTTTATAATAGTCTCCTTTAAATGGTCCTAAAATTGACAAGATTTACTTTCATTTAATGTAGATTTAATCTAGTCTACTATGAATTAATTGGTTGTAAACTAAATTAAACATTGTTTTTAGTTATTGTTTTTTATCCAACATTAAACATGGTTGGCTTAAAAATGACAAAATTATGTTCTGGTTCTCTGTATGTAATCAGAACATGGTTTGTGGTAAATTTGTATAAGTTTTAATTGCTTCTATCACATATTACCAGTTATATGAAATTAATGTCAATCTAAACTTCATGTCATAATCACGAAATTCCCCATTGACTGATATCGAATATAATTCTGTTATCAATGACTTTTTAGAATCATTAAAATAAAGAAACTTTGAATAATAATTTGAAATTTTGAAAATGTAAAAAAATATTTAAACTTCATAGGGATATGGTCTACTATGAAGAACATCAATTTTGTGGTTCGAAGCAATTTTTGCTTAAATTGAAAATATAATAAATATAATCTCATAAATATCTCCGTAACCATTGACTTTATAAAAAAAAATGTATAGATTTATTTTTATAGAGATTTTAAAGTTCTTTAATATTATATTGAAAAATATTTGCTAAAAATCCTACAGTTTTTGAGATATCCTTAAAAAACTAAAAAATACTTTTTTTCTGTCCTTCTCCTCCTCCCCTCATCAAAACCCGATGCGGGTTTCTTCGGAACTTTTTACCAGTTAATATTGGGGAGGGTAATGAATGATTTCTGACAAGTTTCATATTTATTTTTGTTAAGGTCAATCCTTAATTTTACTGGACTATATGCAATAAGTAAGAAAAATATTGTTTCTAAAAAAAATAATATCATTGCTAAGAAACGATCTTTCCAAAAAACCAACTTTGTTCTATATTTCATGAAAATATAAAAAAAAATAAAAAACCTTATTAAACTGACAAAACTTTTTAATGGTGGGGTAAGGCTGTCCCCCCCTTAACTTTACTGGACTAATATTCTATTCAACGTTTCTATCATTCCGTTTAAAGCGTATTATAAGATACATCTTTTAATAATCTCAAATTACAACTTTTAATAAAATGATTTAAAATTTAGATTATGGTACGATTACTGAATTATGGTACATTCGGCCACAACTAAGGACATTAGTAATAGTGATAAATTTCATTTACACTATATGTTCAATAAATAAAAATAAATTAAATGGGATAACAACAAAATAATAATATTGAAATTAAAAACTGTCTTAAAAAAGAAAGAAATATTCACAATTAATATTCTTTGAACTTCTACTGCTTGCAGTCGAAAAGTACAGAATATGAGATTTTTCTAATTAAACATTTTAGATCTGAAGAAAAGAAAATGTTTGAAAAAATTAGTTTATTTTTTCATACTCGCAAATCATCAAAACGCACTATGGAAAAATCGTCTTCGTTATATTTCTCAGTTTTTGGAAGTTCTTAAGAATTTTTTTTTGTGGCAAAACCTTGTTGAAATTTTTTCCTTTCTTGCCATTTTCGGCTATAAAGGGTTTTCACCGGACCACAGGAGAGAGCGCGGAATCAACGCCAGAATTAAAACCCTTCGGCACCGGGATTCGAACTCGTAATCTATAATCTATTAGGTTGCCTGGCAACGCGTGTTTTGCGCAATTACAGTAAGCCCGCCCGGACTCTCCTTCCTCCGTATCTTTGTTAGTAAGAGTTTTTGTGATACTATTCTCTGGGGGTTGTTATATGAAATATCGGAATGGCAATGAAGAAGATGTTCATGGTAGGGAGCTCCCCCAACAATCACCAAATAAATATTCATGAGCTTCCCTGCACTGCTCCAGTAAAACTGTATTTATGGAACTTCTACAACTGGGATTTTGCATGGCAGAGGATACTAATTTTGACAACTACAGATATTCTTGAATCAGTGGCGGATCGACGAGAGGGGAAAAAGTCCCAAAAGAGCCATAAAGAAAAGAAAATACGAATTTTTAAAATATACCTACTTGTTTGTATATAGTGTAATACCTAGTCAGTAACTAACTAAAAAAAAAAAAATGAAACATTGTGAGAAGTCAATTGTTTTAGTAGCATCAATGAAATTATCTACCTTATCTTAGTCCAGGACAATCTATTATAAATTATTCGACATATCGATATTGTTAAAGCAAAAGATGATACGTAAAAATTGAGATTTTGTTTTTTAATAAAACCCTATTTCTTTATGATTTATTTGTAGAATTTAATATTTTATTCCTCTCTGTAATTTTCTTATTTAGCAGACTACTTATAGCAGTTGCAGACTACAAAATCTTACTTTTAGCGCAAAGGAAATAAACATGTAAAATTGTTACATACGACCTTATGCATTGACAGTAGCGATATGAAATTTCTTTATCACAATTTCATGTAATATTTAAATATGAACGTAATTTTTTTAATAGCCTTTGAAGGATCTTTTAATAATTAACTCTTAAAAAAACTTCTTCTTTTTTTTTTTTGGCACATACTGAAAATCTTAGCCAATTCAATGCTTTCTGACTCGCGCCATTCGTCTCTATTCTTTTTTGTTTTTTTTTTCTCAAGACTACACCATAGTATTTTCTGCTTCATTTTCTTATCTTTAATTTGTGTTATATATTCTAATCAATTAAGCCTCTGTACTAAAGAAAATATGTTTTTACGTTTAAATTTAATTATAAGACATAAATTAATTGTTTCAATAAGTACATTTTGTCGCAGCTTAGAATTATATTTACGCTTCCATTACTAAGGTTCATTAGGTTTAGATCGTTGAAAGGCATGGGTTGATTTCGGCTTACTAAAAAACTTCTTAAAAAAATATACACTAACCAATAAAGTATTTTAAGTAACTAATACTCATTCATTTATTTGATATGACCAAAAAAAGGATAAAATAAAAGATAATAAAATAATTTTTAATAAATATAATTTTCCATAGGAATTTTTATTTGTTGGGCGCCTGGCTTTACTAGCATTTCATCTCTAAAGAGATAATTATAGAGAATATAAGTTACTTACCCATGATTTGGCCATGATAAATCATTTATTCTACCATGCTAGCTCAGGTGAGAAGGGGTTAGGTTGGATATTTTTTTATAAAGCAGAAAGGTTAAAAGATCTATTTACGAAAAAAAATATTTACAGAATTAATATTATGTACAATAAAAAGAAATAAAATACAAGGAAAAAGAGGGAATTCAAACATAATTACTATATACAATTAAAGATAAAAAGGAAGATATTTAAGATAGGAAGATGTTTAAGATAATACAAATAACAAAAAAAAGATACTTATTTTATATACATTATTATGGCATGCCACATCCAAATAACTAGAAAAGATAGTCAAGATACAATAAGATGTAAGAGTACATGCACATGCTAAAATATCAGTTAGTCATCTCACTCAGAAAACAAAAGAGAGTAGAGTTTGTTTTGTTTCCAGTGCTTTCTTAATCTTGGTTACATTGAATATGTATCATGTTATTTTTTAAGAACGTAAGAGGTAAAATAAAATAGAAATTTTTACTTTTTGCTAATAAAAATATGTTGTTCAGATCTACATATTCCCACCCACCTTAACTTTCTCGACTTCATATAATGAGATATTGACCAATTTCTTTTAGCTGTTCTGAATTGGCCCTTCTTGCGATAATATTCTGATTCTAGATCCTCCCGGTTATTGCATGGAGGATTTTTCTCTCGAATACTTCTTCCTAAGGTGCTGGTTAGCGTCCAGGTATGGCAGATATACCTATATATGAACTGATTTATCACACCATTGTACACCCTTATTTTGATATTCCTTGAAATTTTTCGGGATTCCAATACTCTTGATAGAGAGATAAGAAAGCTCTGTTTGCGCTTGATATAAGCTGGTCTATTTCCGACCATTGTCATTCATTGAGGTTATTATGTAGCAGAAGTATTTGAATTAGTCTACTATCGACAACGAGTTTCCTTATATACAGACCATGTTATTGGGGTGGAGTTTTCGGTAAATTATCATATATTTTGTTTTATTTTCACTTACTTGTATGACAGTTTGCTCTGCTTCTTATGCCTGAATTATCTTAAACTATCTTTCAATGATTAATTGCTTGCTTCCATGGACAGCTCTATCATCTGCATGTTCGAGGATTTATGATTCATTTCGACGAGCACTTAAACGTTTTCATGTGACTTCGTCCACCACCTTGTAAACTGAACAGCCAGTTCGAACTTTGAAGGACTCAGATACTTCTCCTCGTATTAAATTATCGATATTTAGAGTCGTTTATACACGCCTTCATCAATCCCACCAACTTTCTGGTTTTTCTGGGAATCGCTGTTCAGTTATGACTTTCCAAAGACAGTTCTTGTTCATGTAATCACAGGCTCCTTTGAAATCGACAAATAAGACGAGGAAATCCTAAGCTACTTCCCATCATTTTTTTTCGAACACTTGTTTTAGGGTATATATCTGGTCTAGCATGCTCCTTCTTTATCCAGTTTGGTGGTCGCCTAATATATTAAAGCCAGCCAGCTCATATCATATTCAAATTGTTACAATCAAGTAAAACTCAATACACTTATGATGCAATAGTTACAAATGATAAATTAGTAAAACTATTAAAAGAAAACGTGAATGTTTATCTTATGTCAATTGAATGATGTGTTTATTTTAACATGTTATTCACATTTACAGAAATTGTAATATTTACGTATATAAATGAACAATGGGTACGTTTTAATTGTTATCTACTTTATTTTCGAAAAAGCCCACCTGAAAAAAAGGAAGAAATTTAGGTTCTTTAAACATAGAAATTAGTTCCTTATTGACGAGTTACTATGGTATTATTTAACTTCTGGAAATTAGATCATACCCTTCAAATGAAGCGTTGAAATCCAAAATTAATGGAGTCCATTTTCCATTTTTTTAATTTTATTTTTTCTTTAAATAGTATTTGTACTAGCTTGCCATGTAGTGAAAGGTTTTCTTCGAAATGCTATTAAATCACATGGTTAATTATTCATGATAAAAATTATACAGAAATTATTATTTAATTCTAATATGAAGGCAATTTGAATAATATGAAGACATAATAATGGCTACAATAATTAAAAAAATATGACAAATAAAATCGTTTTTTATACATGATAAAGTTTCTCTTTTACGACGGATTTTAACGAATAGAATACACGAAAAAAAACAGATTTGTAGGACTAGAATCTACTTAAATTACCAGGCGAACGAATCACACGCCGCGACAATGGTAATATTAGCAAACTGGCTTCGCTTGTCTGTTGACATTTTTTTTATCTAACCCATATGGTTAAAAAAAAATCTGGTGTGTTCACTCACACGACTTTCCTACCTGTTTCAGAAAAGTTTTTATGTCTTAAATTTGTCCATAAAATAACAAAAAGAAAAAAAAATTGAATTAGATTTATTTTCCTGAAAATTGATCAAAGAAAAGATTTGAATACGATTTATTTGTTAAACTAAAGCAATGTAAACCGGCTAAGGTAGATCAGTGTAAAATTTCAATACCCTATAATATTGCTGATCAAAAACTTTTTGCCATAGGCTAATTTCGTCAAAAAATAATTTCTTTTTATTTAGTTTTGTAAGGAAATTAATTAAAAAAAAAAAAAAACAGGCTGAACGGGATTCGAACTGAGGGGGTTTGAAACGTTTAGATCCGTCGAAAACAGCATGTAGGAAATTTGACTCGCAATACTCTCTTTCCTAAATTAAAATATGTGTAGAAACGATGTTTTTTTTTTTTTAATTTTGTTGGTAATTTAATTACCTTTCAACAGTTTTATTATAAATTTTACCATAGAATATTTATTTAACGAGCTAGGCCCCAAAACATTTTTCTTTTCTTTATAACTCTTTTTCCTAAATTTTCTCGGGAATTTAGTCCATGTACGAAAATTGAAAGGACAATTATTAGAACATTATAGAAAAGTTTCATCAAAATCGTAAGAGCCGTTTTCGAGCTACAGTCTATAGAAAAACATCCTTTTCACTTATTGCGTAGCAGCTATTGCGCATAGAGCATCAACTTTGTGTCACAGGAATCAGTAGGCTAAACCCTACGAAATATAAAAAGAAGCAACGAAATTGGTTCTCTAGTTCTCTAGAATATCTTGGTGCAGACAGACAGACCAATGGCTAAAACTGTGTTTTTCGAACTCAAGGGGCTCTGTAGCAAAGTAAAAAATAGCGTCAACATTAGTCATGGCAAAAATTAAAAAATTCCAAACAGAATTTTCCGAAACAGCTTTGTTAAAGAATTACTGTATCATAAATTTAATTAATGTAATAATAAATGAAAAAACATTATTGATATGACAATTTATTTATTTTCCTTTTTTTTATATATTATGTTATACACTCTACATGAGTTAAAAAAATAACATAATATAATAAAAAGATGATATAATGTTGTTGTTGGAAAAGATATCGATTTGTATTGCGGATAATATTTGTCTATAAATATTTTTGACTTGAAAATAGATCCTATAGTTTAGAACCTTCTCTTTTTAAATTAATTAAAATATGAAGGTTACGATTAAATTTCCAGAAGCATTTAAACTAAATTATATAAAAATAATTAAAATTTGTATAAAAATATTTAATATAATTTAAATTTACACTAAAAATTTAATGCTACCAAAATATTGTAATATTATACATTAATGGTGTAAAAGACCATTTACTCAGGTTTGAGTACCTACTATTGTGGATTACTAAATTTTTAATTCAGAAACATTTAGAATGTATTAAGAAAAAAAATGGAACAAAACAAATTCTTTTGCAACTGGAAATTCTTCTCTGTCCATGATAGTCATAACTAGTGTTGCTCAAATGCAAGACTGAGACGAGGATTGGTGTTGCAAACTCAGTCTTGGCTTAGGAGAAACATAACTAAGCCCGAATGAAAAATTGGAGGAGTTAATTGCAAAAGTATACGAGTTAAACCAATTATTAACAAATGGTAACTAAGATTGTTGAGTATTAGTAACTGTTTTGCCTTAATTTTTATTTAAAAAATCGATTTTTTTTTTACCAGTCCTGTTCTTGGTCTTGCAACAGTTAGGCGATCTTGGTCTTGCAACGTATAAGACCAAGACCGATTTTGGGCAACACTAGATATAACAAAAATAGGAAGAAGAATATTAACAGAACACTAAGAATTTCAGTTAAAAAAAAAAAAAAAATACAATTGTTTTGTTTGTTTTTAAGGAAACAATTTCTCTAATATTCTTACTATATATGTAAATTCAAATATTTTTTAATGAGTTAATTAAAAATGTAGGTCTGTATTTCATAAATACGTGCTTAATATTTGAATTGTCCATACATTCTGATACTGCTCAGTGACTTGTTTGAGTTTGGATCAATTAAAAAGAAATATAATATAAATAATTATGTTAATTTATTTTCAAAAATTGACATTATTGCTGTCCAAGATCAAAGAAAGGATTTTAATTGCAAGAATCGTATGCAGGAACGATTATTTAATTTTCTTGTCTCTTAACAGTTTTCTTAGGTTGTTTTCGAGTACTAGGAAAAGGAAGGTTTGTTTGTATTTTTATTGGATTTGCTACTTTTTTAAATACTGATAAATGAATATTTGGATTTTTCTTGATTTTAGAAACAAAGAATATATTTTTATCGGTACACAAACATACGGTACGCATTTATACGGCATTAGACAGTGTCTATAAAGGATCAAAATATGTAGAATTAAAGACATGTCTATTATTATACCTTTTCAAGATTAAATAAATTGTATTGAAAATTGGACGGCATATAGTAGAAGTGATTGTACCAATCGAAAAGTTTGCAAACATGTGTTTTTGGTTCAGTCATTTTAAATGGAAAACCAATAAAGAATGCAATGTTTCTATTTTTAAAATATCTAGAGAAAAAATTAAAATTTTAATTATTCTTTGGATTTTATATCAGGCATGTATTAGGCCATTACTTCAAATTGAGTTTTTATAAAGTGCAATCTTCATTGGTTCCATTCTGTTAAATATTGTTCAATTATGTTCGAGATACTTACCAATTTCCGCACTCGATGTTTGTTATGATTTTTGGGAGTTTGCGGGATATCATACTGAAATTGAAATGCATGTTTAGCATGAAATAACACTTATCGACTATTTATTATAAAGTTACAAGATTTTTCGGAAGGATATTTTAAGATTGAAATTTCACCACCTTCCATTGTATCATTAAGGTAACATAACATACGATAAACGTTTTTTTTATTAAAATTGAAATGAGATGAAAATTACTTTCATCCTAGGACCGATTCTCTAAATAATAGAAACTGTTTGTGCTAAAACGGTTTAAATTTCTCGCGTTACGGAGAGTGGTGGGTCAGATCAGAAGATCTAAAAGATAACAGTTAATCCTCAAGAGCTGCTGGTTTTTCCCCCTATTCCTCCACTGGTAGCTACAATGCTTGACAGCACCAACAAACGGCACTTGAGAGCCCTCAAGGTAACCAGAAGATGTAAGCTGGCATAAATATGATAAGCTATTTTTGCACAATTAGTATTACCTACCAATCCATTAAAATACAGTCCATTGCATAGAAGTAGAATGTTGCCCATAATTTTGAATGTTGCCTATTAAAACTCATGAGAGTTATTTGCTTAAATTTGAAAAGTTACCCAAACAGACACAATAAACAAAAATGAAAATAAGCACTCCAGCTGTCAGATAATTTTATGTTGAATAGGTAGACGATTTATATTGATTAAATTTTATAATTCATTAATCCAGCACTTACAAGACAAACGCTCTAAACTTTCTATATATTACAAAGGAGTCATATACATGAATATAATAAGGCCAATCTGGACTTACGGAATTGAGCTTTGGGGCTCCACTAAACCATCGAATTCCTCTCGTATTTAATCCTTACAATCCAAAATCCTTCGTAAAATCCTGAATGCTCCTTACTTTGTCACAAATAAAATCATTCATAACGACCCTAACGTACCATAAGTTTCCGATTTAGACCAATCCAGATACCTATCCTACCATAACAAACTTCAAAACCATCTAAACACTCTGGTTTCAAACCTTGCTTCCTCTTTGATGCCTGACAATCCTCCAAGGCGTCTGAAAAGAATATGGCCTCGTGAGTTACTTATGTAAATATAATTAGAGTGCTACCAATGGGTTGTTTCTCTACAAGCGTTTCCATGTGATTGTATTATTACCTTGTGCACATTTACTGGGTGTATTTTTAATTTATACAGTTGTAAATCTCATAGATAAATAAAAAATAAATATTTCATTAAAAGTTTGAACATTAAGGAATAGTCGATGTTCAGTGCTGTACCTTATTTCATGTAGGGACGAGGTTTTGCGGATAGAAATAGGCACGGAATTCCAAAAAGTGAAGGTATGGAGGAGAAAATATTTTAAGTTCTATATGATGGTGTATAAATTTCGATATTATGTATTGATTGATTGGGTTCTGGTGTTCAGGAAGAGGATGGTGGAACACATGATAAGGATTTGTTATGTGGCTTATTGATTTGGAAACAAACCGTATTCCGACTCATTGTTTATTGAATAATTGCAATGAGTATAAATTTTACTACCTCACCTTCAACCGTAATTGAAACAGTTTTAAAATGTTATTGCATTAATAAAATCGTTGGTGGATAGGTACTCTATGTCCAACCATATCTGTTTGAATTATAAAGATTTAGGAAAAAATAAACATCTGTTGGCTTACCTTATCGGAATCAACGGGAATTCCATTCTCCTCTTTGGAACCTACATTAAATTTAATTTTTGCTTTTTTGGGAACAGCAGCCATCGCCTGCAAACAAAGCCAACATATAATAATCAGACTCAACAACGAACCTGTAACTTAAAGTTATAATATGGTTTTTACAGCGTATGAAAGACTGCTTTTTAATGCAGTTCGATTTGGTGATGTTTTGATTTCACATTTCACAGTTTCTTTATTTACTGTTTCTGAGGTAGATTCTCGCTCCAAATTCCTCGGCTAAAAAAATAATGATTCAGCATATTATTATTTCATCGATATTTGTTTAAGAATTAGTAAATGATTGGAGAATTACAGTATGAGAGACAGAGGAGATAGACGCACAAGCTTCTTCTAGCGACTCCTTAACTGAATGTGCAGTACGTGTTTCTTCTGGCAGTGAAAAACGTAACTAAGTTTTTAAAAAATAGGTTAAATATAAATTATTGATTAAATTAACCAAAATGAACCAAACATAATAAAAATAAACTCACACCATCGCCGATCCCAGATAAGACACCATTCTTATCATCGACTATACCATTCATAACTTGTAAACTACTATTTTGTAGTTCTGAATGTTTGTCCGATATATTATCCTCCTGTTAAAAAAGTATGTGAATTTAAGTATTTTGTTATTCGTTCATTTTTCTTTATTAGACAGGAACTTACAGCAAACGTAGAAGTGGACAAAACATTTTGAGCAGTTCCTTCATTGGTATTTACGGATATTTTAAAATCTTCCGTCTCCACATTAGCCACAAATGATTCCTGCTGGTAAATGTCTATTTATTACGAGGACCTTAGATTTGCACACACGGTTCATTCAAAACAACTTACTGAGGGATCTGAGTTGAAAGAGGAGGGAATGCTTGTATCATCTGTTGGTTCTTCTGAACATTGTATCGCATTGTGAAAAATACTTGAGTGATCCATAGGCTAAAAAATAATGGCCAACATAAGCAATTTTTCGTTCAACAAAACAATATTCAAATGAATGGATACTTACGTCTTCAGGGACTGGACAAACAGGCTTCTCATCAGCTTTTGGATTCACGCAATCTTCAATGAGGTAAAGATTATCCTGTTATAAGCAAAACTAGAATAAAAAAAAAGTCTAGAGGGCGTGTTTATGTCATATAATTAAAAGTTTACAGAATCCTTACAACAATTGAATGCTTCGATTGAATAGGAGATTCCTTATCGTTTCGGTACTGACAGTGGCTGCTTTGTGTGTCTTCGTGAATCGTCTTTGTCTCTGACTCTGTTAAAGGACTCTGTAATGAAAATAATAAAAATTTATCGAGCTATTTATAAAATATTTAGAATATCTGTTTATGACATAACAATTTGATATTAGTAATTGATAACTATTGCGAATTTTTTTTTCGCGATGGTTAAATTGAGCTATAATAATTTTTTGACTTCTGTAAAACCCTTTTTGCATGTTAAGGATTTCTACTTAGGGCTCTGATAGCAAAGTTACCAAAGTTCTGTCAAAGGCAGATGTTTTCAAGTAAATAAACACGAACTCTGGCAGATTTTTCGGTCATTAACTTTGGTCATAGTATAAACAAGATGTACGTACGTAAATGGCTCATATTAAAGGGATAAAGAGCTATCAAATATTTATATTAAAAATACTGCTGAAATGCAGGAAACGAAAGTTTTTTTTTGTTTTTAAGTCAAGTTTTTTGTTAATTAGGAGGCGATAACCAAAAATATATTCAAGTTAGGTAATTAAAAATTGCTTCATAGTAAGCCAGACTAAATTTTTTTTCAGATGTATATACATTGTTCGTGTCAAATCCAATTAAAAGGGACATTTAACCTGCTAAAATAAGTTCTGCTTTTCGTAAAATCATGGACTATTCGCAATTCATTTTCATCATCCTTCACGGGTTTACTGATATCCTACTTTTTTTTCAAAATTTCTATGCTTAATTAGCTCCGGTTTGAATCATGTTTAAAAAAAAAAATTAAACTTTAGTTGTGTTCAAAAAATAAGTATTTGTATATTCTTTCATCTCTGAGTACTTATGTTTTTCAGCAAAAATAACTACAATAAATTACCTCAAAGCTTCATTTTCTTTTTAATGTTACCAACTATTCCAATTTTTAAAGTGTACTACTGGTCATGAGTTTTACCTTAAGAAAATGTTACAATTACAAAATCCAATACATTTAAGGGATGAGGTGCGTCATGTTTGTTCACATCTTCCAGTATTTATCAGAAAAAATAAATGATCGATTCTTGGCTATCCTACTGAAATTGGAAGAAAACAGATAAAAACCGCATTCATTTTTTCTTCAGACCAGTGGCGAGACAATTTCAATCATAAAGAAGTTGATGAGTTTAAATTGGAGCTTATTATCGATACATTATTCATTATATAAGTATTTTTCTCCCAAACAACCAGTGGTGACTCTAGAATTAGGTTATATTAAATTGCAGTTTGTACCAAGTCAACATCGATTACTAATATCAAATTTTTGAGCAAGAAGCAAATATTCTTAATAATTATAAGAAATATATATGGATTTTTTTTTGTTATTGTATTTCTTACGTTACTATTAAGAATACATAAGACAGGAACATCATTTTTCTCTCTAACAGAATCGTCATACTTGTCGACTGCGGTGTTCGACATACAATCTTCTTCCTAGAAATCGATTATCATTAGCACATCATTATTCATCGATTATCATTATTTTATTTATATTATGCATGAATAAATTTAGTTACCATGATTGGGGTCGAAGCACAAATACATGGATTTTCGCTAGCCTCAATTGTTTCCTTAGGTGATTGGATCTCTTCATTGAAGTTCGATATGTTCATCTTCTTATATTCAACCTATGGACAGTTTTTTTTTTTTTTGTAATTAATTACAATTTCATGAAAAAAACAACTGTTATGAAACTCACAGTTTTTATATTCCAAGAATCATTTTCTATTTCACTTTGCAGTTCGCTGCTTAATGTCGCGCTTAATTCCATATTCTAAAAAAAACCTGAGTTAATGAATATCATTTCTAAACGTTGGAAGCTGTTAGGATGTGTGACTTACTTCAATCGAATCTCCCTCATCAGTTGGTGCGTCATCCTCTATCTTGAAACTAATCATAGTTTTCTGGTCAATTTCCATCCGTCCAAGTCCTGGTGAAGATTTTTCCTGCAGTAAGTCCAATTTGTATTTTAAGACCATAGTGTATGAATTTATTAGCTTAGTAAGACATTAGTGACTTACCTGAATACTTATATTGCTAATGGGTCCAAACAAGATAGTTACATCATCCTCGGTTTCTTTGGCAAAGCCGATCTTAAGTAAGTTGTTGATACTAGCCCTATGTTCTGGGGTATCCTTGAAAAACACAACCAAAAAAAAAAAAAAATGATATTATACCAAAAGAAAACTATAAATGGTAAATTTTAGAAGGCATATTGGAAGTTGACTTACATTGAGTGGCAAACGTTCGTTATTGTTTTTATTCGTTTGACTGGTTGTGGCCCTGCCTTGAGGCAAACGCCTGTCGGAGGGAACCGGTCTCATTTTCCTCCACCTCAGTTCTATGGCTATGCAAATCCCGATCCCGATGAGGCCAACGAGGCTACCGATGAGGATGTTTCTCGAGTATGATCCCATTATGATTACAGAGTAGAGTATATGGTAGCTCGATGTTAGTCTCATATTATTATACGTATCTTGTTTGGTTTGTCAAAGCATATTTGCGAAGCATCATGTTTTCTAACCAACTTTACTTTTCTCTACCTTACACTTGAACTTACATCTTGCAATGCTGCTAATCACTTCATGATTGGAATACTCAATTCTGAACGAGATCAGTTTCTATTACAAGAGTCTGCACTGAGAATGCGCGTTTTAATGGTTGTCCAAACATTTTTCAAGTATAGGTTAAGTAAATAATTTTGTTTTGTATCATGGTGATGATTTTGTTGTCAAAATGACCCACCTGATTATATAATAACATTGCAGTTTAGAAATAGAATTCAATAGAAGTAGTGAACAAATTATAAATCAAAACACGATTTCAGATTAATTTTTATCTATTCTTCTTTTTTAATTTAAATATTTACTATCAATATTTCATGTTATAAAATACATATGCTAAAAGTGATATTTTAAATTAAGTTTTTTTTTTTTTTTTTGAAAATATGATCATGCAGTGATGTAGCTGCTTGCATTAGGACCCATTCACTAAAAGTGACATTCGAGTTCGAGAGTTCAAGTTTTTAAGGAGTTGTGCGTGATTTTATATTAATCATATGTTAATTGTTATACATTTCTACCATTTCGTAAACTCTTCTTTAATATGATAAAATAAATAAATAGGCAGTAATTTTCATTTTTATTGTTTAATTTGCTCCTCAAAACAAATTTAGGACTTTTTTTTTTTAATAGATTTTTTCTATTTTTGTATAAAATTAGCTCTTATAAAATGAAGATGCAAAGTATGTATTTTTCAAAATATTAGTTGTACGTGAAATATAAACTGGTGAAAAGGTATAGCTCTAAAATTTTTGCTCCAAAAAAAAAAATTTAAAAGTTCCCCATTGATTGAATAAATTTCTGCCTAGTGGAATAGTGGTGCCATCTGACGAAAAAGTAGACATAATACTATTTTTTTTTAAGTTCTCTTCATAACTAAAAATAGCAAGCGCCAGATTTTTATGCTTTATGGAAATCATAAGCTCTTTGATCTGATGGGAATATTTAAAAACGTTTTCGAATGAGACTGAATTTGCTTAAAGAAATTTTGCATTCACATCTAAGATTGGTAACTGTATTAACTAAATTTTCTTAACATTTGTTTCGGATATCTTAATACCCCTTCTTTCCGCAGGCAATATTTCCTTGGATCTTTCCTATTCCAAACGATCAACACCAGACACCCTTCCTACATCTACAGTCTCCTACAGTTTAAAACCGTGGTCCACTCCCAGAAAACAAGATCCCGTGTTTCCGACCTTTATATCCCTTCCCATAGAACTAAGACGTTTGAATATTCCTTTATTGCCCGATCCAGAGCCTTCTGGAATTCCTTGCCATCTGATATCCGCCATGCCTCTTCCTTGTCCTCATTTAAATATCATCTTTACCCATTCCTTCTCACTTCCCAAAATGACGTTATACAATTAAATAAATATTGCGAAACAGTTTTTGACTGAGTTGAATGGTTGTTAAAAATGATTGAGTTTTAATTTTAAAAATCAACCCATGCTTATTTTATTTTGTTTTCTTTTCATTTAAATAATGTTTTTTTATTTTGTTTTTTCTCAGAATGGTGTTATTTTTACTTGTTTTAATATAAGCTCACTGAAGATACTGTATATATTCTGTAATATTGACTAATGTAATTTTTGGTCAGATGTAGTTTTTATTTTTTTTTGTTCATATCTGTTATTCATAAGGGACCTCGTCCCAGAATAAAGTTTACTTTCTATCTATAAGTCCTGAGAAATAATATAAGTCCGTAGAATTAATTGCATTACACCAATAGTCGCAAAAGATGGGAATATAACGTTTTAAAGTGTTTTGTTTGCTTTAAGAGTTACTATATTTAATAAAATATAAGTTTTTAGTGTCCGGATGAAAATCCTTAATGAAAATGAGGCCTGCATACTTACTTTTTATATTAATTCCAAGAATGGCCTACAAGACCAGGTTACAAAAACCGTTCAAATTATAGAATGATATAAATAGAGATTTACTATTCATAGTATAGAATAGAATATATAAATAATATCAGAGCTGTTAATTCATGAATTAAAATCAATAAGAGCAGTCGCTACTCGATTGCTTGGACCACTACGTCGCGGGTTCGATTCCCGCATGGGGACGTCCTCACTCTGGGATTCAAAGAAAGGTGTGCAACCCCTGTGTCTAACAACATAGCTCCTTGGTCCTACAGATCGGAAGTCAGAAACAGGGCGTATAACCCTATCTCATAGAAAAATCAAGAGGATAGAGATGTCTGCAAAAGGTTGACAACCATCCTGATGAATAAGGAATGGTTTGTGATCGCGTCCGGTTATTATAAACCATGTGCTCCCTGGATATCTATATAAAACAAGCAGCTCATAAGATCACAGCTTATCACCTGGAGCAGTCCCAATGCTGCGAGAAGACTAATGGAGCAAGTCAAAAGAGTTAAGAGGCGAAAAAAAAAAATGTTTTGGATGATAAGTATAATTGGGTAATAAGTATAAGTATATAATAATATTGGGATAAAAGTAAGGAATAAAGTTAATGAATTCAATTGGATAAAATGGGCAATTCTCCTTTTTATGGTTTATTTATCAAATATCATGATGAAATATGATAAATATAAATGAAAGGAAATTTGTTAAATTTTGATGTTTAGTTTATTGGTCTAGAATAAAACAGTCATTTAGAATGATCGTTTAATAAGATGCCAATGATCGAAATTAAAAAAATAATCTTTATTCTGGAAATAAGCTCCCTGAGAATAAGGAGAATGGAAATGAATAAGTTATTACGTACTCAAAGTGACAGGCGTGACGACTGTCACTTAGTCTTATATAAAATAACCAGATTTACTTAATTTTTCATCGATTGATTTAAAATTATATTGAGAAATAGTTGTTGTTTAAAGGAAGATAATGAAAATCCTTTACAGATAGAGATAGGAAAGGAATTCCAATAGGAAGGGGAACAAACAAGAAGTGATTTCTGAAAGGACGTAGTTCCATGTAAGGAAATTTAATTATCGGTCAGTTTTGTTTTGGCGTTGAAGAAGAGGACGAAAGAACATAGGATAAGAAGAAGTTGTTAGATTTAGAAGTAAAATAATAGAAAAATGCTAAGATATAAGGAAATATTGCTGTCGGAGCCAATGATGAAGCCACTTTAACTCGCTTTAATAGCTATAGATAAGGGTAGGTCTGGGAATCCCCAATGTAAATCTTAAAATAAAACAATTCCTTAGAGCTTAATTGAGCACTGGGTTTATACATAATAGAAAATATAATATTACAGACAACTTAGGAACAGGTATTCTATTTAATTATGCAGGTTTTATTCTCATCAATGTGAAAGAGATGAGATTGCAGCAATCACCTGATGCAACATCTTCATCTTAAGACAAAACATAAAATTAATCAACAGTGCCCTGGGCTTTTTCAATATTAAACATGGCCTCGATATTATTTTTTACCGTTTCATGATAAATATAAACTATTACAATATCAATTACAAGATTACTATTACAATATCATTCTTTACTAAAACATACCTTCGATTACTTAAAACATTCAATATCTTAAAATAAATTTTGATAATAGATATTTTACTGTGAGTTTCTGATCATAACATCATACTAACGTGTAAGAGATGGGATGTATCTTTGGAAAATAGCAGCTGATTTGATTATGGTATAAATATATCGATATAAAAGATCGAAAACTCAAAATCATATAATAAGGAATATGAGGATTAGTTTTTATCGGTATTTTAAAGATTAAATGCTTAGTGTTTGAATTATTCCAATTCTATCCAAGAAACAGCTGCTCAAAAGAAGAAGAAAAGAGAGGGCTGTTTTATATACTTATATTTTTGATAAAAATTGTTATTCTTAAAAAGCTTCAGGTTTTTTATTTTGTAATATCTAGAATTCCCATTCATCCTTACATCCATACAGCATGTTCAAAGCATAACATATCGCATGTGCAATATTAAAAATTAAAAAAACAATAGTATTTACATTTAGTAATTGCCCCATTTACTGAAAAGCTGAATACAATTGTTTTCAAATCAATGATTATAGTAATTATAATTGAGACTTAAAGAGTAGGAAAAATAAAAAAATAATAACTCTTAGTTATTATGATCACATTATTAAGTAATCATATAAAGATATTGTATGAGAAGGAGTTTGTCAGAAGGTGGGAGGGAGGGGGGTGCGGTCATATAAATACTATATTTTATATGATCATTTAATAATGTGTCCTAATAATTTTTTTTTATTTTTCCCTACCTCGCCTTATAGGCTACACGGGGTTTTCCCGGGCCGGAGAGTGAGGGCGGGAAATTTTAAAATACCCCTTTAAAGTAGTTTTTTTTTTAAATCTCTCAAAACTTCGTTTGTCTGGTTGCCGGGCAACCATTATGACCATATAGCGAGCGATCTTAATAACTAAGAGTTATTGTTTTTTATATTTCCTGCTCTTTAAGTATCAATTATATCATTCTATTCATTTGACCGCACCCTCTCCCCTCACCAACTTCTTCTCATATTATCATCACGGTCAACCATTTCTAGACTATTAAAAATATTGTAGATTCCTTGTAGTAATCAATCATTTTTGAGAAAATATTTCATCAGATTTAATTTGTTCAATAATTAAAATTTTCTTCTTCTTTGAAGGAGATGCGGTCCTCCTATAGACCCTCCAATATCTCAGCAATAGATTATTATGTACCAGCTAAGTTTGAAAATATCTACTATATAAAATAAATTGAATCGATATACATGTTTTAAATGTGAAGGATATTAGCGGATCATTGTGCTTGCTAAGGCTATCTGCCTTATATCATAAAGTTGCAAGGGTTGGAAAGATGGGTATCAGAAACTTTATTCTTAAAAGGTACGCTTGCAGGTATTATTTGTATAGCTGTAAGAAAAAGGGTGTAGGAGAAGCAGGTAGCGACATTCACAGTCAAAGTCTGTGGACCACCGCCAGGAGGAATAATAGGTGATGATGGAATGGTCCTAAATAATGGTAAATGAAATAGGTACTCCTAGTGAGAAGTGGAATCAGGAGTACAATTGGGTAGAAATATTTAAATAATATAAGAAGTCGATGAAAAGAGAAATCTCCGACATAACAATAGGGAGATCAGTATTAAATTATGATCAATTATATTTTGGAGAATTATCCATACCATTTTTGAAAGACGGAGAAGTCCTAAATCATTCCATAAAAAAGTAGCGGTGATAAGAAGATATCGCAAAATATGTGAAAACAACTCGTGAACATCGACAGCCGATCTCAAGGCATCTTCGACCTTGTCTAGAACGATCAAGATAAGTCTTGTTGTAACTGATGTAATCATATTCCAGCCTTTATACCTTTGCAATTGAGTTGAGGTGATTAGCAATGGACGATTTCTAACTTATAGTTTGTCTCCAACAATTTTTCTTCGACCAAATCAAGTAGAACATCATCATCAAGGGAAAATGCTCCTACGACTATCGTTCTCTCACTCTCCCTTTTCTCTCTCTTTCTCTCTCTCTCTCTCTCTCTCTCCCTCTCGAAATTTTTAAAATCATCACAGAATGGTAAATACACTCGCACTGCCATCACCCAAGACTTCATTAATCGTTCTGGCCTTTGAGCCTTTTTCCAACCAAGCTAAAATGACATTATACGAAAATCTTGGTAAAGACTGATTTCTTTCCAATAAGTGAAGTATTGCAGGAGATAGAAATCATTTTTATTTAGAAGAGGACTCATATTTGTTGATACCCATACAAAATAATATTCTCTAAAACGTAAGCTGTTTGTTATACAGTTTAATGTAAAGGAAATATGAAATCTTGAATAATTTTCCGGACAATCCAATAATGTAATTCGACTAAATTAATGTTACTTTCGTTAGTTCATGTCGTTTTAAGTCCTTATGTCCATTAACTAAGTAAATATAGGTTTCAAAACAACCCATTGTTTCCAGAATTTGAAGTACGGATTTATTACATGAGCTTACCACAAAACAAACATCAGCCACCCTAGCGCTGCTTTCCATCCTAGAATTAAGCGAACTAACCTGAGATATTCAGGCATACTGAATTGAGATGTACTGTTATGTCTCCCGTTAATAAGTTGGGAAGCGCACCCCAATATCGCCCTCGATTTCGGGGGAGGAAACTATTTTGGCGGGAGTTCCCCCACCCCCGTGACGTCAGCGCCGCCGGTGGGGGGCGGTAGCCCTCACAGCCGCTCACCCCCGCTTGGGAAGAGGACGCTCGATACTGGAGGTCAGGTACGTCTTCAAAGATCCGTCAATTGACGTTGTTATGTCTCATTCTATTCTCTCTTGTTTATTTCTGGCACCGGGCCAATCCTCTTTGTGCCCGACCTAGCGCAATCTTTCTCTCAACTCCAGGCTTCGTAACTTGCAATAAACTTAGTTTTGCGATTTGAAAAAGGCTTTAGCTCAACAGGCAAGATAGTGTATTAGTCTAGTCAGGCATCATATGTAAAATAACATTTTTACCATAGTTTGTACGAAGTAATTGAGCAAGTTTGTACAATACTAAAACCATTGCGTCTTATTGCAAATAAAGTATTTTTTTTGCGCGTATATTTTGAAATTTAGCCTAGAGATTCAATTACTCCCACCACTTAACATTATATTAAATACATGTATCTTATCTGTTTTCATTATTTTATATGCAGCGTAGATCTAAACATTTTTAATGGCAAACTTTAAATTAAAAGTTTTTTTTTTATGCGTTCATTTAATTTCGGGGAGCCGATTGAATCATACAAAATCATTTAAAAATATAATATTCAATACAAATGCTGATATATCAGTATAGAAGTATATAAAATAGCATAGAAGTTAGTAAATTTTTTCTGATTCATATTTGTGTATTTGAGTATAAAATGACATCAGTTGACAATTTCGCCATAGAAAATATTTTAAAACTTTCTATATAAGTTGTTGACGAGTGTTTTATTTTTTTTAACATTTCGATTAATTGAAATTGTTGATACATTAAGCGAATAACAATCAACAATATTAATTACATTTGGTACTTTATACCGGGAAACCGGAGTTTTTTTTTCATTGTAGAATTTTAACTGTTACAACCTTGTTGTTTTTGAGAAGGCCTGTTGACAACCCGTCTTAATAATGGACTACCACAGGTTTTCTTTCCCTCTTAGGAAACATTTAGATCTTACTATTTTATTAAAAATATCCACTAAAGTCTTATTAATATTTTTCTTTTTTTCTTATATTCTATGAAAATTCTTGTTTATTTATATATTGAATAGAACTGATGAATTGATTGTATTCTTTTTGCTAATGTATAGATAATAGTCTTGTTGGTAAATAAATATCTTATTCAAACTGTACAAAAGATAACGCTTTAGTAAATTATATTCATGTCGATAACTTTAATATTTATTAACGCACAGTTTTGACAAAATTTTGTAAATTATATATTCATTTAATTGACCTCTCCCTAGCGAACAGTTACAATCCCAAATCACCTGTTGTGCTCCTATTGATTTCTCGATTTTGCCAGGTCAAGGCTCGGAGAGAAAATCCTTCCTCAATATTATTGTCTTTTGAGGAAGTGGAAACTTATCGGAAGAGGTATATGCTGAAGTTTAATTGGAAAGGAGACACCTTCCGGAAGTTCAGGTGTCAGGAATAGTAGCCACTCTGGAAAGTTCTGTTTTTTAACTATCGTCAGTCCACAATTCCAAACTTATTCAATGTTGCTTTTCAGGTGTTGATATTTGGTATAAGATTACTTTTGAAGGAATTAACAAGCAAATTAATGAAAAGACGAGAGAAATATAGAACAAAAAATGAATAACCTACCATGTTTTTTTCAATGCATGTTTTAAACAATCAATGATAAAAGTTTAAAAATACTTAATTATTTTTTTATTTAATTATATTGTTGGTTAAATAAATGCAGCCGTATAGATATCCAGGACTTAAAATAAACTCAACAGAATTGTCCTCAAGTTTAATAATTATAAAAAAATGAGCTAACTTTGTATTTATACATATATTATAGTATCAAATTATTTTTGACTTAAGTTTTGTTTATATAAGAAATTTACTGGTAAAATATGTTATAATTTAGCGTGTACATATCAAAGATTTTTGCTGCGTTAAAGATCAATTGTTTATTTTATAAAAACTTTTTACTGTTAAAAAAATATTAACTTTATAATACGAAATAATACTCCTCATATAACAAAATTAAATTTGTATTTTTATCTTTATAATCTTGTTTTCCTACATTTTTTTTTCTCGTGAGTAATTAGACATGCAAATAGAAGCAGTAGTTATCAATCTAATAGTTTTAACCTTCGTCAAAGAAAAAACAAAATATAAACAGATCTGACAGCTACTCATTATTATTGAAGGTTGTCATGAAACATGAAAAAGGAACAATGCAGTTTTAGAGATTTTGATAAATATTTTAAAATATATGTATTCCTTTTTTTACTATAAATGTTTAATTTTTATACTATGTTATCTGCGTAAGACATAATTTAACCATTTCAAACATTTATATTTATTATGTAAAAAAAAAAAAATGCACAATTTTGTAGGAGATCGTGTTGATTTACATACATATTGTTATTATCTTCACACTTTGTAGTGGATCTTAATAGTGGATTCTTCATTCAAGAATTGAAGTAAAGAACACATTTACAGATCTTATACTCTTTAATAACGACGAAGTGGCGGTTACTTTGATATTTTAGTGTTTATAGATGTCAAGAAGTTGTGTAACAATTTTTAGACTTCCTCTCACAGACAAGCAATTTCGGCTTTACATTTTTAGGACTGTCCAGCGATATTAATAACACTACAGAACTAAGAAGTTTATAGATTATTATTATAACATTTCGTTAGGAGTATGCACAATCGGCTTTTTAGATCGAAATAGATACAACAATGTATGACTCCTAGGATTAATTCATACGGGAAAAAAAACAAAACATAGACTCTCCTAAAAAAAACTATACTAATGTAAACAAATAAAAACTCACCAAGAAACAGAAATTCAATACTAGGCAAAAATTGAAAAAAAATCCAAACATACAGCCATATAAAATATAGGTAAATAATAAAATAGCCCGTCAACGTTTCGCAAATTCTGACATCTTGAGGACAGAAATTTAAAAAAAACCAAGACCTCATCACGCCATGACATCCAACCGCTTACTGCAAGAAAGTTGAAGTTCTTGAGGGTTTAAAAACCATACATTGAATACCCTAATGGAATGGAATGAGAACAACTTAACTGAGAGAATGGTTAATTATTAACACTGAAATTTAAGACTAAATTGGAAGAATAATTAAGAGAAGAAGCTTGTGTTTACAGAAATAAAAACCCAATACAGAAATGAGATACATAGAACATACAAAATGATAGAGTGTGTAAAAAAATGACCGTTTTTCAACCAAATATTTTGACATAAAATACAATTAATACTCAAAGTAGAGTCTATTGTAATCTGCCGTCATTAGCCATCTGCTAGCCAATTCCTCGATCCCACGCTGTGGAATACCATTCTGTGGAATACCATTCTGTGTAATGGCTGTTAAAGAGCTCTTCGACCGCAATTTCAACTTCCATAAAATTATTAATTTTTTTTCCCTTGAAGAAAATGGGCCAAGGATCTAAAGAACTGGTAATCCGATGGTGCGAGGTCTGGACAATATGGTGGATGAGGAAGGAGTTCGAACCTTACATTTTCACAATTTTCTAACCTCTTAGCTGATTGCTGAGGAGTAAGTTCGTGAAGGACCAGTCTACTGCTCTTTTTAATTTTTCTGATGGAGAATATATGCAACTAACAGTATCTTTCGACATACTACACTCCCTGGCAAGTTTGCGATTACTTGTAGATGGATTTGGCTCAACAGCGTTTTGCAGAACCTCATCAATATCTATTAATGGTCGCCCGGAGCCCCTCTTCCTTTCCAACAGCGTATCTCCACTGCTAAATTTTCCAAACCAACGCGCTGGTCAATGACATCTTCCGCTTCATATAGTTAATAATTCGAATTGATTCAGCTGCTGTGATTTTTTTTCCAGTAATGCCTTAAAATTGCGAGAACTTCGTAGTACAATGTCATGTTTCTTTTTTGAAACAAATAACTAAACTTTGGCTTAGAGATTGCCCTAAAGGGATTATTAAGTATTGGTAAGTATTTGATAAGGTTAAAATATTTATAGTACTTTGAAATCTTGAATTTGATAAAACGGTAATTTTTTTTTAATAGACCCTATTATTAAAATATCTTCATCCAAAATTTTCAATGTTATATATCAAAATAATTACAAGACTAGCTGAGGAAATAAAATTATTCCAATTCTTCTTAATTACATAGTAATCAAGAATCGTTAACAAAAACAATTATTGTTAATTATGTTGTCATTGGTTCCAAGTGAATGGTAAACTGATTACATCTTTTAAATGCGGTTTTTAATTGCTGCAGTATTGATGATAATCAAGTGGTTTCCAAAGACGTAGTTAATTGTTTTTTGCGTTTCGTGACGTTTCGTTGTCTCATTGCATAAATGAGAGAAAATTATTGAGAAAATACAATTTTATATTAATTTTTATTTCTTTTTTTTTTTTTTTTTAAATTTCTTTATTGAGTATTATAACAATCTGTCTGTTGGAGATTGGTTATAGTGAGGTAGGATGACATTCACACTATATGTACAAAAAAATAAAATAAATAGAACAAAATAATAATCAAAAGTATATACAATAGACAATAAAATAAAATAACCTAAAAAAATAAGAAAATTAAAACTAAGAAAAAAAAAACACATGCATACCTACAATTTTTATTTCTAAATCAATATCTTTGTGGGATTCATCACGTGAAGACATAGTACACCTAGGTAAAGTTAATATTTTACAATTTTTAGGACCTCCGTCTAATAACAAACTCATTTTCAAAATAGAATTAGTCTGTACGTGTCAAATACCGTTTATACAGTAAATAAAAATTCACATTTACATGTTGTATTTTGGTTTACTACTGTTTTAATTATCCATAAATAAATTCTGGTATAACTCTTTTTCATAAATAATATTCATAAAAGGCCGTAATATACTCAGAACCAGGCAAAGAGTATTTTAGCACAATGTATTTTAAGTATAAATAATTTTAAATATTTTTCAGAAAAAGTTATTTCAAATATAAAATAACGAAAATATTTTACATTTCAATTACAAAAAAATCCTTCCCGTTGGACCATCAGC